TGAGTGGCCGTCGATGCTTTAGGGGGCAGGAGGAGGAGGAGGTTTGTGGGTGGTTTTTTTCCTGCTGTCTCCGGGAGAGGAAACCAAACCTCCCCTTTCTGGGTGTTAACTCTCCAGCCCCCATGGGTTGGGTTTCAAACCACGTTTCTTAGGACTCGCTCTTTTGTAATAATGATTCGCGTTGTTGTTTTCATGGAGAGGTAAAGGCGAGAAGCGGGGAACCAAGAAGGATACGCTCGTAGGTTTTGTTATTGTATAAATGGAGGTGAATAATTAACCTGTTACACTTGATATTTTTGCAGATCAAAAGAAGGAGGAAACTATGCCCACAGAGGGAGAGAAATCTCCCGAGGCAGAGAATAACAACAATAATAATAAAAAAGGGAAAACTGGAGGCTCACAGGTAAAGCACACACAGTCAAATAGGGAAGTACCCAAAATATTAGCATTTAAAATGAAATGTTCAGCTAATTGCATTTCCTGCTCAGGACATCTTTCTTTGGTTTGGATGAAACATGCTTGGGTGAGGTATATTTCTTTACTGCCTGGACACGTTTTTTTGGTTGCATCTTACAGTGCATTAGCTCTTTCCATATGTTAGAGGCATATATATTTATTTTACTGGGGGAACGGAGGGGAGATTAGAGTGAGGACAAAACAGTCCAGACTGCCACATATTCATTGATAACTGGTGGTATTATTTTTCAAGGTTATTCACCGGAATCCTTACTTCCTCATTTAGTGCTATGTGATTGGTCTCTGTATGTAGAAGCTCTCTCTCCTCTCTCTCTCTCTCTCTCTCTCTTTTTTTTTTTTCTCTCTCTCCTTCCTGTGTAAATTTGAACGGTTATTTCTTACAGCTCATGCTGTTCTGAATCTGCTCTGTTTTCTGTTTGTGGATAGGATTCTCAGCCTTCACCTCTAGCTTTGCTAGCAGCCACTTGCAGCAAAATAGGAACTCCTGGTGAGAATCAAGCAACTGGACAACAGCAGATTATTATAGATCCAAATCAAGGTTTGGTGCAGCTTCAAAATCAGCCACAACAGTTAGAATTAGTAACAACTCAGCTTGCTGGAAACACTTGGCAGCTCGTTGCTGCTGCTCCTTCTACTTCAAAAGAAAATAATGTTGCTCAACAGGGATCTTCAGTTGCTTCCAGTACAGCTAGTCCCTCCAGCAGTAACAATGGAAGTTCATCTCCTTCAAAAACCAAACCAGGGAATTCTTCTGCAACAAACCCTGGACAATTTCAAGTCATTCAAGTACAAAACCCAAGTGGCAGTGTCCAATACCAAGTGATCCCGCAGGTTCAGACAACAGAAGGTCAACAAATTCAAATAAATCCTGCTACTACTACTGGTCTACAAGATATACAGGGTCAAATTCAGCTTATTCCTGCAGGGAATAATCAAGCTATTCTCACAACTGCAAATAGGACAGCTTCAGGAAATATTATTGCTCAAAACCTAGCAAATCAGACAGTTCCAGTCCAAATTAGGCCTGGTGTTTCCATACCACTGCAACTGCAAACTATTCCTGGTACTCAGGCACAAGTCGTAACAACCTTACCTATAAACATTGGTGGAGTAACCTTAGCGTTGCCTGTGATAAACAACGTGACAGCAGGAGGAAGTTCTGGACAAGTTGGCCAGTCTACTGAGAGCGGAGTTTCCAATGGAAATCAGCTAGCATCTACGCCTGTCACTACTGCCTCCGTCAGCACAATGCCAGAATCTCCGTCCTCATCTTCCACCTCTACAACCACTGCCTCAACATCTCTAACCAGCGGTGACGCTTTAGTGAGCTCTGCAGAAGCAGGTCAGTACACAAGCACACAGGCGGGCAGCAGTTCAGAGCAGACGGCTGAAGAACCTCAGACAACTGCTTCGGACTCTGAAGCCCAGAGCTCCAGTCAGCTCCAGTCAAATGGACTACAGAACGTTCAGGATCAGTCAGGTTCCCTTCAGCAGGTCCAAATTGTAGGCCAGCCTATTCTACAGCAAATACAGATCCAGCAGCCTCAACAGCAGATTATTCAGGCTATTCCTCCACAGTCATTTCAGCTCCAGTCAGGGCAAACTATACAGACCATCCAGCAGCAGCCTTTGCAGAACGTTCAGCTGCAGGCGGTGAGTCCCACTCAGGTGCTCATCAGGGCTCCCACTTTAACACCATCAGGGCAAATCAGCTGGCAAACTGTACAGGTTCAGAATCTACAGAGCCTTTCCAATCTTCAAGTTCAAAATGCTGGGTTACCCCAACAACTAACCATTACCCCTGTGTCTTCAAGCGGCGGCACAACTATTGCTCAGATTGCACCAGTGGCTGTTGCTGGTACCCCAATCACTCTGAACGCTGCCCAGCTTGCGTCGGTCCCTAATCTCCAAACAGTAAGTGTTGCCAACCTGAGTGCTGCAGGTGTCCAAGTTCAAGGAGTTCCAGTTACCATTACCAGTGTTGCAGGTGAGTGGTCTTACTTATTCTACTACTGCAAGAATACCAGAGTTTTTTAATGCTTTTTTTTTCCCCTCCATTCTTTTTGTAGTAAATTGGAAACTTGTAACTGTAAAGAAATGTTATACTTACCACAAATACAGTATTTTAACATAGCAGACATTTCTCTACACATAAAGCTAATATTAGCCATTTCATCAATATGTGTCACTGCCTCAGCTGAAATGGAGCTACTTGTATTTAAGACAAAAAGAGGAAAGCATCATTTAAGAATAGTTTGAGACACACAAGCTTTAGGAGGGAATATGAGGCTGTACTCCTGTCCTGTTACAGGAGTACACCTGCTCCAACTAGGTACTGCTAATTTATGCTGGGCACAAAGGTGCAGGGAATGAGGAAAGGGACAGTAAGTGAACTGGAGAATCTTGTGTCATGATGTGTATTTTGTATGCAGCTGTTAATTTTCTGCATTAACTCCTAAAGCTCATTCCCCTGCAAAGACATTAAATGGAATATGATGCACTTGTGCACAGTAAGAGTCCTGTGATTTATGTATTTTTTTTAAAGTTCATAACAGTAGTTCAGTATTTAATATTGAACTTCTGAATTGTGTTAGTGCTTTCTGTGGTGTCTCACAAGAGCGTCTCTATAAAGCTTTTAAACTTTTAAAGATTTTATTTAAAACTTTTTTTAGGGATCTCTTTGTCAGTTTAATAGTCATTTTGTAAGAACTTGGTTTAATTCATACAAGTCTTCCAGTCTTGTAGTTAAACTCCTGATATAAAAGTTGTGTCTGCAGTTGGGCTGTAAATTTTTTTATGGTTTTATAAGCACATCTAACTACTGTCCATTTGACACTAAAAGTATCATACTGGCTTAATAAGGAGCAATTTTGCACTTGAAGAATTTTATCTGCTATGGTACTCTTTGGCACCTAATGGCAGGTTGAAGTTTTAAGAGCTGGTTTGGAAGCAATAAACATAGTTTACTGAAGAACAGTGCAGGAGTGTTAATCTAGGTAATCAAAATTAAAATCTTGACCTTCTGCTGTTCAGTTTAAATGTTTCCAAACAAAAATTTTATTGCTGGAAGTGAGCAAAGTGACCATAACAATAGATTATGGCCTAATTTATCTTGGAAAGTTTTCCTTGGTGGGAGAGCTGATTGGCTACAGCTGTTAGAGAAGTTGATACTTTGATAGATAGGAAGTCTGCTTTGGGAGGTGCCTGGTCTTGTGTGATGTTTTTTTGTGTGTGTGTGTATTTTATTTTCTTGTTTCCTCCTCTCTCAGCTGTAGTGGCTTACAGCTGTTTACTAGACACACACAAAAATTGTGATTATCATCTTGATCAGTTACCTTGGTTGCACTTCTGCCTGAAATGTCCTCTGGAAAATAGAAGGATTGACCCTTATAATTGAGGATAGAAGAAGGGCAGTAAGTTGCAGATGTGGGCCCTAAAGAAGCCTTAGCCATACAAGTTCTATAGTGCTTGTGTGTGGTGGTGGTTTTTTTGTTTAACTTATACTAGCAGAGGGCTGTTTCTGTCGTGTGTAGGGAGAGGGAGGGCTGACAACTTTGATTTTCCACCCCCCCACTTCCTTTCCTCCGTGCTTAAGGTACTGTATCTGTTTCTGAGACTTGTTTAGGAGAAAAATGAGATCTTCAAGAAAGTGTGAGTTCGTAATCAAGAAAGAGAGGTCACAATCTCCTGTTCATCTGTTTCTCTCCTGCAAAACTTCCTAAGGCTGCACTTTGGGATTGGGAGACATGATAGCATGGAATGGGGAGAAAGAGTATGAAGTGCTACCTCTTATTCATGCTATATTCAATATTCAAGAAAAGAATGGTGTATGAAAATCCTAAAAAAATAAAGTTTGCTTACCACTTGTAAGGAATAAGTTAGTAGCCATGATCAAAAAAGCTTCAAGTTCAGGATTTTCCAATTTGAAATGGCTCTTGGTATTTTGCAAGGAATTTAAAAAAATGAATGGCTCATCCCAACATCTGCAGACTGGCATTTCCATTCTTCCTCAGCAGTACTCGAGTCTGTCAATGTGTATTCTTTTACGCATGAATTGAACTTCCTGGAGGTTGACCATTTGCTATGAGTGAACTGTAAGAGTAGGCGTTAAAATTAGGCTGTACGTAGGATGTCCAGAAAGTCAGGGAACAGACTGACTTGGAAACTGAATCCATGTGTCAGTTCAGGTACTCTTTCTTAGAAGTAAAAAGCTTTCTTCTACTTCAAGCAAATCCAAACAATCAAGCCACTAGTGTTTCTTTCTTTATTTATTTATTTTTTGGGGGAGGAGGAAGTACTTATCTGAAATAACTATACTTTTGTTTCTGACGTATTTCTGTTACATGAACATCAGTTTTCCTAGTTATTATTACAAAAGAGTAATTTGAGTAATGAGAAAATAAGAAAATGCAGCATACCTAACAGTAAGGCAATAGGACTCTTAACAGGAATAATGAAATTCCTTAGTTTAGTGTTCTTGGGGAAATGCTAAGCTATAGAGCTATGTTTGGAAAGCTTCTTTGGGCATTAATATTTTTGTCAAGAAAATTGTGGAAGAGATATATCTTAAATTGGGAGAGAGATTGAAATATTCAAGTAAATATTTTTGTTGACTTATAACTTGAGACCAGACATGCAAAACAAAGGTTCAGTAGGCTTCCCTGTAAATCAAGGAAGGTGAATGTGTGAGTTGTGTGGATTTTGTTTGTTTGTTAGTGGAAAGCTCAGCTGTGTTGATTTTTGGTGAGTATCGCTTTTGTAATTGTATGATGTGTGGGCAAAAGCAAGGCACTTTATGGCCTGAGTGAGAATTCATTCAATGTCCGTGAAATTCTGTGGAAATAAAAGATCTGCAAAGCATCAGTTGAAGCAATAATTAAAAGCACAGAAGCAGGCTGAATGAGGAATTAGGTATTAAGCATCCAAACCTTAAGAAAAATCTATAAATAATGATTTAATTCAGAGCTAATCAAGCTAACAAGTAAAAGCAACAGTGTTTACTTGAACATGTAAACATCTGCAAATATCTGGCTTGCTATGAGATCAGTTTTGTCATAGCCGTCTTTGAACAAGTTTTGTGTTCTCATTGAGCTTGAAATATATTTTGCCTTGGATAGACTAAGCAAGCTGGGCCTGTTTAGTCCGGAGAAGAGAAGATTAAGAGGAGATCTGATCAATATGTACTGAGGGGAGAATGTAAAGAAGATAGGGCCAAACTCTCCTTGGTGGTGGCCAGTTACAGGACAAGGCGTAATGGGTATAAATTAAAACAAAGGAAGTTCCATCTCTGTGTGAGAGAGCTTCTTTACTGTGAGGGTGACAGCCCTCACAGCCTGAACAGGTTGTCCAGAGAAGTTGTGGAATCTCTCCCTTTAGAGATCTTCAAAACTGCCTGGATGTGTCCCTGTGCCACGTGCTCTGGGTGTCCCTGCTTGAGCAGGGGAGTTGGGCTGGATGATCTCTACAGGTTCCTCCCAACCTCAACCATCCTGTGAGTAACATGGGAAATGAACCCTGGATGCTGATAAATGTGGGATGAAATAAAATGAACTGGTTAAACCATTAAATATATGTTCAAGTATATCAGTTTGTCTGTAAAAGTTGTTCTGCCTGTGTAATTTCTTAAGTTGGGTCCTACAGAATAAGTCACAAGCTCTTCTGGACTCATTTAGTGTTTTGCTGACAGTTGCAATACAGTGGATATCTCTTAATGGTACAGACAGTGTCTTTGCAGATTTTTTTTTTTTTTTTCAAAAGAAATGGAGAATTGAAATAATGGTTCTGACTTGTCTCCACACTGCTTTTTACCTCTTGAAATAACCATTACATGAGGATGAGGGTGTCTGTCCTTATATGGAACATTAAATCACTGGTAACATATGTGAGTTAGGGTACCCTACCTACCCTAGTTAGGGTTTTTAGTTTCTTGTCTTGGGTTCTTCCACCTTGCAACTCAAGTTGAAGCCACTTTAAAAAAGGGGCGACTTGGCCCAAATTATAGGGAAAACTTCTGAGTTCATCCACCAAAATAATATGGAAGAAGAACTTATGTTCAGAGGAGATTGGTCTCGCCTGACAATATTGGAACTAGAGAGTTTGCAAGGATGTGAGTCTTTTGCTGAGATATGCTGTAGACTTTAAACCACTTGTTAGTGATAATGAAGTCCAATATCAAGTTTTCTCACTAGTATGTTTTAAATGAAGCAAATAGAACATTGCTATAGAGTAGGAAAAAGAACTAGGGCAAGTTGTATGTTCTTCCACCAACTGCTTCTTCTGCACGATTACTAGCAAACTACATAACTAATAGTACCTCTAGGTCTCCTGTGTCCTTATGCATTTTTCTCACTTGCTTGCATCCTCCTTCTGCCTGTCCTCCAGGCTTTCTCTTCCCTTTCTTCCATTACTGAGTTCTCTTTTGTGAGACCCTCTAATTCTGTGACTTACTTTTCAAAGGTTGAAAACATTCAACCAGTGTGTCTGGAATATCCTAGTCAATGCTTTTTGAAGACTCTGATAAAATGATTTCTAACAGGAGTAAAACGATATATGAGAGATGAAATGTGTGTAAATCAGGAATGTAAGATTCAAAGATGTTTCTGACTAAATATTTAGTCTTTGATGTTTGCTGACCAGAAGCAATGTGTACAATCTGCTTTCTCAGATTCTCTTCCACCCTTTAGTGATCTGCAGCTCAAATCTTCATGAGCCAGAAGTGGTTGTTTCTGTATTTAATGGATTTTTTTTTCCTTAGAGTTTGTCTTTTTTGAGCCCGTGTGAATTTTTGACATCTTAGCATTTGTTTGCAATAAATTCAGTGCCATAATTGTTGTATAAGACCCTCCTTTGTCTCATGTTCTTTTGGCTTCTCATATCACAAGAATTAAAGATCTGTTTCACCTTTGTATTACCCATGAACTTCCATATCTCTCTCATATATAGTAGATATTGAGGGAATGAGGGCTTGTTTAGCCTTAAGTCCTACAC